TAAAAGAAGCCACTAGAGTCATGGGGATGATGAGGTAGCAGAGCATTTATGCCTCCAACCAAATTTTCTGCCTTCATATCAGAGGTTACAGACATTTAACTATTAGGGAATTTTTTACCATATTTTTACAGATGTTTGGGAAAATGAGCACTCTGAATCAAAAAAATGATTTTAGTAGACTTTTTCAGACACCTTACAGTGAAACTCCTAAAAATATACCACCGTGATATAATAAAATGAAGACATTTTCATCTCTAAATCCTTAGGATTATGGAAAACATTATCAAATTATCTTTGAGGTTGAACTTCTAAAAAAAGAATTTACATAGGAGATTACTATTATTTGAGGACATAGTGTGTAGATCTATTATCTCCCTTTGTGAGGTTTGTTGTGTGGGAAAATATAAAATGTCATTGTGTTGGTCAGCAGAATTTTTCCATGAACGAGTAAGAGGGTGATATCTTCATTTAAGAAGAGAACAGCTTTCTTCCTTATATACCTATGGGCAAGGAAGGACTCTCACACTTTCATTAATTGTTAAAGCAACAAGCATATGGCTTATGCATTCCTATGTAGTTAATGTTGCCTTATGAGTATTTTTTTCTCATCTACTTAAAGTAGCAGGGAAGTAGTGTTCTTCAGGCATAAGTGCTTAGATGGTGATCCCTATACCAGGAAACCTAAGGAAATAAGAGCTACCAAACTGCTTGGGATTTGAAAGATAATTTTAAAGGAGAAAAATTAATTCCTTGCTTCATAAGCTTTTTATAGTTATGGACGTCCTCATTTTTGTGATAAATACTTATATTCAATGCTTAATTTACAATAATTCCATTTTAGCACTTGAGAATGATATTCTACATGAAAGATATACTAGCAGTAAATGGTGTGAAATGGTGGGAAGCCCAATGAAAAATGAAATTGTACTGTTATAAAAAAATTAACAAGCTTCATGTCATTTCACCTCTTGTTTAAAACACAGGAGGCTAAGTATTTACAGTGATCAAAGTCTATAAATTCTATTCTGTTTTTTTGCTCTAGTGTAGCCAGACTATTGTCCAACCAGCAGGCATTGAAGGAGTATGGTTTCTGGGGCAGGGATTCAACTTTCCTGCTCACTCTCGTAAACTCCTGTTTACCACACTGTCTAGCAAAGGCTCAATACATATTCATACAATGAATTTTTAGAAATCAGAGAATGTCTCCTGCATTGGCAGGTGGGTTCTTTACCACTGGTACCACCTGGCAAGGCCCAACAAAAGATATTATATGGAAAAATGTAAAAGTTCCATAGAAAAATGGACTCTTTAAGGGAACATATGCTCCACATTGAATTCCTTTTTTGAGGAATCTGTTTCCTTTAAACTGAGTTTCAGGATGGTTTTGTTCTTTATGAAATTAAATATAGAAATATTAAAGCAGTCAATGTTTTAACTATTTAACACAGGTATTTAGTATATTACTATTAAATTGTTAATTAAAAAACTGAATTTTTTAATTTTAAAGAACTAATATATTTATATTAAATTAAATATTTAATGTTTTAATATTAAACTACTTATTAAGCCAGTTAGAATTATATTTAAGGTGTGAATAATAAACACATATGTAAAATATTCAAGCATTTGGTCACTCAACAAACATAGATGCTATGTGAAAAATGCAACAGAATAAAGTTATAGATCAATATGGAGAATTATTATTTTACATAGGGTGAACAAGGATATGTGATAGTTACCTGAATGAAATAAAGGGATAAACCTTAAGGATAGCTGTAAGAAGTCATTTTAAGCCTAAGAAACTGTAGAAGAAATAGATTTGAGTGGGAAGTTTGTCATATTCAAGGAAGAGCAGAATTTCTGATATAACTTAAGAGTGAAAGACAGAAATTGTTCAGGAATGATATGATAATAGTGGTTATGTTGTATAGAGGCCAGAGTAAAGACTGAGCTTTCTTCAGAGTGAGATTTGAAGCTCGTGGGGGATTTCGAATATAAGAATGGTATAACATGACTTATGTTTTTGAAGAGATAATTCTGGCTACATACTCAGGGTGGGAAGCCAGGATAGGTGGACACGCAACTTAGAATTAGAGAGGCCAGTCAGGAGGGTGTTTTAATTGTGTGTGTGAGCAAATGAAAAGCTGGAGGTACCAGCCCTCAAAGGAAGAGAAGCAGGGAGAGTGTGGTATGGAAGAGGAACTCAAATACAGGGCTGTAATCAGGCTAAATTCCAGGTACTTAGTAGCCAATAGAGCCTTGACAAGGCAGGCAAATAGTCATATTAAGGTGGTTTTCACACCAACACCAGTAGCCAGGATGCAATTTGCAGAGAGAGGAGTTCTTTATCATTTTTTTGGCTCAGGGATCATAAATTCTCTTACCAAAACAAAAAATATATTTTGTCCTGTCTCTTAATTCCTATGATATTTGGAAGAGCTAATTAACCTTTTATTTGTGCTTCCTTATCATACTGTAATTAATTAAGATTAGCTTGAGTGCTATTTGGAAAATTAGTAAAGCCTAAATATAATAGCATTGATAATTATCATGACCATTAGTTGACTTCTTACTTTATGCCAAGCACTCTTCTAAGTATTTCATTATAGTCTTTGCCAAACTCATATTTTATTTGAAATGTACTGAACACATAACACAGCTTAGAAATGCTGAAAAATTTGATCATGTTTACATGACTAATAGGTTCAAATAATTTCAAACCCTACATTCTTTTAGAGCATTTAAAATCATGCTACAGGTTTGAGGCACAAATCATTTCTCCCTCCCATATGAATTTTTTCCTAAAATATCAAAAAGAAGCAGTAATGATATGCTAAGTTGCTTCAGTCGTGTCTGGCTCTTTGTAACCCTATGGACGGTAGCTTGCCAGGCTCCTCTGTCCATGGGATTTTCCAAGCAAGAATACTGGAGTGGGTTGCCATTTTCTTCCCCTATATATATATGTGTGTGTGTGTGTGTGTGTGTGTGTGTGTGTGTGTTTGTGTGTGTATTATTGTTTAGTCACGAAGTTGTGTCCAACTCTTAAGACCCCATGGACTGTAGCCCACCAGGCTCTTCTATCCATGGGATTTCCTAGCAAGAATACTGGAGTGGGTTGCTACTTCATTCTTCAATAATGGCAATAAGAAGCATGTTTTTAGAAACAAAATATTTCCCTTAAGTCAACGTTCCCTGGTTGCTCAGTAGTAAAGAATCTGCCTGCAATGCAGGAGACGCAGGAGACATGACTTTGATTCCTGGGTCAGGAAGATCCCCTAGAGGAGGAAATGGCAACACACTCCAGTATTCTTGTCTGGACAGTCCCATGGACAGAGGAGCCTGGCGGGCTCCAGTCCATGGGATCGCAAAGAATCAGACACGACTGAGCACACATACACACAATCTGTTCTCTGCTCAAGCACACCTCATTACTTCTACCATGAGGAAAATATCGTGTTTGTTTTGCTTTACTGTCCCAGAGAAGCCACTGCTGAATTTCACACACCTAAATAGCATTTTCCTGCTCTCCAACGCTCCATTTAAACATTGTGGAATTCCCTGAATTCTCCATCCTGTATCTGATATCCAGCACTGTCTCCACTTTCCTAAGCATCCTGACACTTTTTATTCAGATCTTTGACTACTCAATAATAGTCTTGTACTGAACTATGGCTCTGGGGGGTTAAATTCCCTTGGCAATTCTGGATGCCGTCCTCGGCATATGGAAAGTGACTTGGGAAGTGTTAGAAATTGCCCATGAGAGACGGGGCTGATTCAGAAGATGAATCAGAGATACTGGGTGTGAGCAGCAATGGTAATTGGTACCTTTTGTTTAAAACTTTGGACAGATGCTGCTTAGTTGTAAAAGTGTGTATTAGTTAATAATGACTTGACATTAACTCTAGCTAGGAAAAAGAAAAAAGAGAGAGTGTTTGATCACTCTATTAACCAATGTAATACAACTTTGGTGTTCTTGTGAGCCATCAACCCCATCAGTAAGTAGGGAAGCCGTCCAGTAGCTGGCTGTGTATCCAACTCCTTGATTTTGTTCATCTACCTTCAGTCTGAAGCAGTAACCACCTGGCCCTCACACGAGTAACTTCAGTATAGAGCTCTGCTTCCAATCTCTAAGTGTGTTGCTCACATGGATTCTACCACCGTCACACTTTGGGGTCAGTTAGGTCTATTTTGAATTTCAGAGATATCGCTTATTTCTGTGTGATGGAAAAGTTACTTAATCTTTTGAGTCTCATTTCATTTGCTTTCTCATAGTCAAAGCTTATATAATACCTATTCTGCAAGTTTGTTGGGAACATATAAAGAATTAATGTGTATAAAATATATAGTATGGAAGCTGTAAAACAGTGGATGCTCAATAAACATAATTGTTACGTTTTTACATGTAAGCTAAACATATAATTAATTTGTAACTATGACAGAGAGATATGTTGTTTTTGTTACTAACTCAAAAAAGGACTTTTGACTTATAGATACAAATATATAGGTTTCATCAAAGTGTGAGTGGATATGTGTAATCTCTTTCATGTACATGTTCACACTAATAAACACATTCTTCTTTAAATATTTTCTTTATTAAAGGCAGCTTTGGGTTTGAAACAACAAAGACTTTGCTGATATTAAAAATAACCATTTAAAGGTGGTATTTATTCATAAAAGGTAAGTGATTTCTCCATACGTGGGGATACAGGTGTTTCAAAGAATTATGAAAGTCAAAACTCTAAAGAATTATTAGCAAGAACACTTTAAGCAAAGTATCATTAGAATTGTCTAATTCATTCTCCAAGTGCCCAGGAAGATAACTAAATGATATTAGGAAAACCAAAATATTCCTTGTACATTCAACCTTTTTGAAAAATGTCAGTAACAAATGATGCAACGTAAAATAAAATTGGGGCTGCTGTTCCTGCCAGCTTTAAATTCTAATGCTCATTTGGCTGACTCACCTAAAGAATCCATTGGTTTCTTTGTTTGTTTGACAGGTACTATCTCAGGTCAGTCTCCTTCTGAGGGTTTTCTTCATTATCCTGACCTTGACCTCCATTGGATTTCTTTTGGATCAAAGGTAAAAAGTGAAATTCTTTCATCTTATGTAACTTTGTAATGTAATTTTAAAAATATCTGTGAAATTTTGAAATTCAGGAGACATTGTTATTAAAAGAGTAAAGCTGAAGCTGCAATTTCACACTTTCATTTTAAATGCAACAGAGTAGTGGTTTGTCTGATTTTATATCAAGGGATCATTTTAAATCTAAGCCTTTTAGATGAAATTTAGGTTTTTCAAATATATTAAGAAAACCCATAAAATAAAATGATTAATTTGGCAAAACATAGAGTATAACTCTAAGTACTTAATAAAATATAAAAATGATTTGAGTATTTTCCTTTGCTATTGAATAGTTCACAATATATGCCTACAAATACATACATTTGTATGTACAGTTGTTTCTCGGTATCCATTGGAGATTGGGTCCAGAACCTAGCCCCTCATACCAAAATTTGCAGATGCTCAAGTCCCTTATATAAAATGATGTGTATATATATATATATATGCACAGAACCTATGCACAGGCTCCGATAAATTTAAATCATCTCTAGATCACGTATAATACCTAATACAATGTATACTGTTTTATAAATGCAATCAATATAAATGCTATGTAAATAGTTGCTGGCAGTGGCAAATCCAAGTTTTGTGTTTTGAAACTTTCTGAAATTTTTAAAAAATATTTTTTCATCTTAGATTCGTTGAATCTGAGATGTAAAACCCATGTTTATAGAGGGCGGGCCACCAGTGTACTTAAAGTTTTATGTTCTTTACCCTCATACAGTACAGTATAAAAAATGTTTTTATTTTTATCATTTATTTTGTTTGGCTTTTAATCCCTACTTTTCTATACTAGAGATAAAATACATACTGAGCCACAAAAAAGAAAAATAGAAAAACTGAGTCAGAAGGCAATCCGAAATAACCCATATCCAAAGCATCAGGATCATATTTTAAGGATCACAATTCTATTGTTTGTATATACTTACTAAAATGATCAATCAGCCAATAGCAACAGTATACTGTTCTTTAATGAAGACTTTTTTATTTTCATGGGTACAAGTAAATAAGCTGAATAGCAGGCTATTGATTTTACTGCAATATATCCTAAGGTATAGTAAGTTATGGTATATGTTTATATAAATGTCTCCACTGCCTTTGGCCTTATTTAGGAACTCATACTGGATATAGGTATGTCATTGTGGAAGGGAAGTGAAATGTTGAAAATTTTCCTTTGAAACTGAGAACTAGTTAGATATGTTTGTTATTTAATGCTGGGCTGGAAACTGTCAGTGGAGAAATGAAAGAGAAAGAAAGAAAAGGCATAAAGATTTGAAAAGAATTAATAAAACAATTAGAAAATTAATTTATATTAATCTAGAAATCTGAGTAGTGAATTAATTAGAAAACCCAAGGAATCTATAGGGAATTTATTCAAATTAATGGATGAATTTAGGAAAAGTTTTAAATAAATTATCAACTATATTTTTATATACTGGAAAATATAAAAACTTTATGCAAAAGATCAAATATATCAAATACCAAGAAAAAAAAGTCTGAAAAAAGGAGTAGTATATCTCTAAACCATACATAAAACTACTGAATATTATGAAAAATAAAGAATTAAAAAATGGAGAGATACTATATTCATAGATTGGAGTACTCAATTTTGTGAAGATTACAATCACAGCAGTTGGTTTACATACTCTGTGCAATATGAATTAAAATTATAAAAAGTTTCTTCTCTGTGGAATTTGACAGATTCTTTCTAAAATATATATATATGGAAATGCAAAGGCCTAATAATTAGCCAACACAGTCTTGAGGTTTTTTTAATGGCAGGAGCTGAGCTACTGACTATCAAGATATATTATAAATCTATAGTAATTAAACATGTTTTATTGGCATAAAGATTAGAACAGAGAATCTAGAAACAGATCTATGCATATATAAAGACTTGATTTCTGACAAAGTCATCCCTGCAGAGCTATGGGAAAAGGAAAAGGCTGTCTTTTCAATACATGGTCTTAGAAAAATTGGATCTCCACATAGGAATAAGAAAAATAAACTTGACAAATAATTCACTCCATAAAAATTAATTCTGGTTTCAGGGGATTGTAGACTTTAAAGTGAGAGGAAAGTCAGTACGGATTCCAGCAGATAGCATAGTAATATATGTCTATAACCTTGAAGTAGGTAAAAATATTGAATGGTCCACAACAATCCATAATATAGATAAAATTGGTGAATTAGGTTATAATAATATTATGAAAGTCAGTTCTTCAAAAATAAACTCTTAATAAGACAGTGAAAAAGTAAAATTTTGAGATAGGAAAAGCTATTTGCAATTTTTTATAAACTTCAAAGATCTTATGTCAAAAATGTCTAACATTAAAGGAATTGACAATACAAGCTGTGAAATGCTTACACTCTGAAGAAGGTGGTTTATATTGGGATACCTAATTTGAAGAATGTTTTGAGTATTTCATTAAGTTTGGCTGTTCAATCCCAGATGTATACTAACCAATACACCCAAAGGCATATAAAAGAATGTTCAGAAAGCATTGTTCTTAATAAACAAATGTGGCCAACAATCTAAATGTCCTTCCCAAGGTGAATGGATGTGTGAATATTGGTCTATTCACACAACAGAATACTATGCACAAGTGAAGAATGAGCTGCTGCTATATGCAGAAATGTAGATGCATCTCACTAACAACACTGAAAGATATTAGATACAAAAAAAGTGCACGTGATATAATCCCATTTACAAAAAATAGAAAAAAAGATAAAAGTAGAAAATAGTTTTTAGGAATTTATGCTAAATCAATAAAAATATAAATAAAAAGGTAGGAGATGGTATGCGTACCATAAATGATAAACAACAAGTAGTGATTCTTTCTGCAACAGAGGGAGGGTGGGACACTGAAGAGGTGAGATGTGCCTAGGGGTGCTAATGTTGAGTGGTGTTATATGGCTGTTTATTCGTTGAAAGTCATTGAGTTGTATATTTCTGTTTTGTGTGTTTCTTCCTATGTATGTTCTAATTCACAATATAAAAGGCCATAGAACACAAATAATAAAAATAAATTGTTTTAAAATAGAAATTAAAAAAATAATAAAATAGAAATTTTATTTTCTGTTTTATCATTGAAAATTACCCAAATATCAACTTAAAAAGTTTACAGTGATGATACAAAATTATTTTACAAAGGGAAAAATTTCTTAACTTTTTGCACATACACAAAAATCATGCTACTATATTCTAAATTAACCCAAATAAAATATAGCTATATTATAATGATATTAGTTCAATAATATTTTGTTAGAAAATGTACATTATAAAAATACCATTTGTCCTTTATGAAAATATTTAATTATACAGTAAGTGTTGGTTGAATTCATTGTGAAGTTTATTTGAATCTGATAAAGCAGCTGTTCACTACTGCTATTACAAGGCAATTTACAAATGCCTATATGTGACCTTCAGTTATGTTTTAAATACACATACATGCTTTATATATGTCAGAGTTTGAGTTTCAAGAATTCTGTATTATAAAGAAAACATTCATCACAAAATTATTGACCAAAATCTATATTCATGCTACCTATAATATCAGATTTAGCAACATATTATCATGTTCCCAATATTTCACTATTCAAGCATTCATTATTTTAGAGTAGTTAACTATGTCAGCCCTCCTAAGAAGTCATTTTTTAAATGAATGAAGTATTAAGATGTTGGGTGAGTGAGGGGAGTCTAGTCTCTAAACCCTAGAAATTTAGTTGTCTAATATTTTATTTATTAATTGAAAATGTTTCACCCCAATTCATCAATGCTCAAACTAAGTGATACATTGATCAAGAATAGATTTTCTTTAAAAAGATGCATTTTGTGTCTTAGTTTAATGCCTGTTTACAAACAGCTTCAGAGGTACATACTCCTCAAATATATTAAAATACTAGGTGGTTCTTGAAAATGAAAACAAGTTATTAATTATTAAAATAAGCCAGAAAGATAAAGACCATTACAGTATACTAAAGCATATATATGGAATTTAGAAAGAGGGTACGATAACCCTATATGCAAAACAGAAAAAGAGACACAGATGTATAGAACAGACTTTTGGACTCTGTGGGAGAAGGCGAGGGTGGGATGTTTCAAGAGAACAGCATCGAAACATGTGTATTATCTAGGGTGAAACAGATCACCAGCCCAGGTTGGATGCATGAGACAAGTGCTCGGGGCTGGTGCACTGGGAAGACCCAGAGGGATCGGGTGGAGAGGGAGGTGGGAGGGGGGACCGGAATGGGGAATACATGTAAATCCATGGCTGATTCATGTCAATGTATGACAAAAACCACTACAATATTGTAAAGTAATTAGCCTCCAACTAATAAAAAAAAAATTAGTGGATCATTAATAATTCATAATTAATTATGAAAATAAATGCATTAATAAACCAATCCACTTTATTATATAGCAGATACCAAAGAGCATTCAAAGGTAATGCATGTAAATGACATTCTATTTCAGACCTAAGGCAGCTGTTCTGGAAACTCTCCGTTGCTTGGTGTTCCTAGGGCTCTGCAGAGCAGGTCATCTGAAGCCTTGCTTCTCTTCTTTGTCATTTGCTCTTGAGGTAAGACGTTTGCTTTAGATAGCTACAGCAGGATTAAAAATTGGTTGCATATTTAACTCATCCATTCAGCAGTGTTTTTGTCTATTTATTCTGTGACTAGTACACGTGGGAGATTTTTACCCATTCACGTACAGTACTTATTTGTTGTGTTCCCTTGAGCTAGTTTATATTGTTGAGTCTCAATTTTTGTTCTCTAAATTTGGATTGATATCATTAGCCTTCATAAAACAGTTGGACAAATTGTATCGCATGATGTTTACAAAGAAATTAGGCTATATAATTTTTTCTCAACAAGTAGTAAAAGTGATTTTTACAAAAAAGTTCTTGGCAGAGATTGTGCCATTTGAGACTTTTCTTTTTTAGGCTCTTATGTGAAAATTGTGATTAAGATATTTTGTCCAAAAAAAAAAGAGAGACATTTTGTCAAGTACCTGCAAGTTACTAATTCTTTAGAAATAAAATCATTAATGTCATTGAGATCTTTCTACAACCGAAAATATGTTTAATTTGACCTTGTGTTGTTAGGATTAAAACTTATCTTCTAAGAACTACATAGAAACTTTGAATACATATTTATGACTTAGATGTCTGTTTAAAATGTTATTTTTATCACTAATGCTTTAATGGACAAGGTTTTAGTCTTTTAAATTTAGGGTTATATCGTTTAACTTTGGTGCTAAGAAACCTGCCAACATCCCTGGAATGTGCGTTGTGTAACCTTGTTTAAGCATGAAACATAAATGCTAACATTTTCTCCAATGTTAATGGAAAAATTGAGGTAGACGCCTTCATAACCGAGTAACAGTTATAAGTTGGGACCGACTGTTTGGAAGAGAAATCAGTGATATCTGTCAAATTGCAAATACTCTTACCCTTTCTTCCAACACTTCTCTCCTAGGAATTTATGCTACACAAATGATATACTCATACGTGTGTGAATTAATGTATATAGAATATTAATCATTTGTAATGGAATGCTGAAAACAGTCATTAACAATTGTTAATGTCCTATTAAGCCATTAATAGGAAACTGCTTAAAAATTATGGTTAACATAATGAAGAAGAATATGCATTTAGCAGCAGAAACAGGGAAGTCTTTAATACCAGTATGAAGCATTTATTAAAAATACATATATATTTGAGGTTGCTCCATCATATGTATGGCCTTCCCTAGTGGCTCAGCAGTAAAAAATCTGTCTGCAGTGCAATAGATGTGGGTTTGATCCCTGGGTCAGGAAGATCTAAGAAAGTGGCAACCCACTCCAGTATTCTTGCCTGGGAAATCCCATGGACAGAGGAGCCTGGCGGGCTACAGTCCATGGGGTCACAAAGAGTTGGACATGACTTAGCAACTAAACAACAATAACAAAAGGTGTGTGTGTGTGTGTGTGTGTGTAAATATATATATATATATATATATATATATATAAAATGGGGAGAGAGAGAAGAAAGAAGGAGAGAATAAAACGTGATAGAGGAGAGTATGTGTGAAGTATGTGAAGTGTGCTACCATACAAAGCACATTGTATAAAAATGAGGAAGGGGAGTAATATGCATATAAATATTTTTGTATGTTTGTAAATATTTCCAGAAATATAATCAAGATTCTAATACATGGTTGCCTGTGGGAAAGTGAACTGTGTGGCTCAAAGAAAGGACTAGAGGAAAGATTATTCATTAAGTTAATATTTTTGGTACCTTAAACTTTCTGAACCATGTAAATATATTTCTGTTTCTAAAAATATCTGAATTAAAAATGATGAAGCATTAAATCTTAGAATCGGTATATTGGATATCATCTAGTCCATGTATTTAAATAGGTATTAAATAAAGTTTATACATCTACATATATTTTGTTTCTTGAGGTTACAAACCAAAATTGAAATGAAAAAGCATAAACTGTACATGTTTAATGAAATTTAGAAATATAAATGCCAAAAAACCTTACAATCTAAAATCATAGCATTTTCACATTCTCTAGAAGGGAAGATAATTCTAATTGTAGGGAGGAAACAGAGTAATTCCGCTTAATAAACCTACTTTTGGGTATATTGTGATAGTTTATCTTAAATGCTCCAAAACAATGAGAGAATGTAGGTTCTCAAGTTATCCATGTTGTAATGTGAAAATATATGATTACAAGACACAGGTTTTTGATGGTGGGATGGTGAAGGGCAGTGTAGTGGATCCAACTTTTGAGTGGGATGAAATCTAGGGTTTAAATGCTATCTCTTTACTTAAGTTAGTCAGTAGGTGAAAGTGAATGTTAAGACTTGAGCCACATTGTCTAAATTTCATTCCTGGCTCAGGTACTTACTGGCTGTGTGTCCTCGGGCAGTTGTTTGGTCACTTAAAGATTCTTAGCCTTAACTTCCTCATCTGTAAAGGGAGAAACTGATAATCTCTATCAAATAGGGTTTTGAGAATTAAACGTGACAATCTATTTAAGAGATTTAGTACAGTGCTTAATACATAGTATGTGCTTAATAAATGTTCAGCTCAGTTCAGTTCAGTCACTCAATCGTGTCTGACTCTTTGCGATCCCATGGACTGCAGCATGCCAGCCTTCCCTGTCCATCACCAACTCCCGGAGCTTACTCAAATTCATGTCCATTGTGTCAGTGATACCATCCAACCATCTCATCCTCTGTCGTCCCCTTCTCCTCCTGCCCTCAATCTTTCCCAGCATCAGAGTCTTTTCCAATGAGTCAGTTCTTCACATCAGGTGGCCAAAATTGGAGATTCAGCTTCAGCATCAGTCCTTCCAATGAATATTCAGGACTGATTTCCTTTAGGATGGACTGTTTGGATCTCCTTGCAGTCCAAGGGACTCTCAAGAGTCTTCTCCAACACCACAGTTCAAAAGCATCAATTCTTTGGCATTCAGCTTTCTTTATAGTCCAACTCTCACATCCATACATGGCTACTGGAAAAACCATAGCTTTGACTAGATGGACCTTTGCTGGCAAAGTAACATCTCTGCTTTTTAACATGCTAATGTTAGGTGCTATTATTATTATTTTATATGAACTTAAGCATCCCTTGAAATAATTCTTTGGCATGTCACAAGATCCAAAATCAAGTTTGGGAACAACTGACATAGGGGTTGGGAAGGAACAACAATGTTGACCATAAAGTTATGGTTGTGAATTCTTAGCTTGATACTCAGTTTGTTGGACATTGGATTTTGTGCCTCAGATCATTTACCTGTAAGATAGTTTTAATGAGAACTAATGTGCATGGAACTTATACTATGTTCTAAATGGCATATTTGCATTATTCCATTTAGTCCTCATATCAAACTCATGATGTGGTAACTACTATTTATTTTTATAATGGCAGATGGAGTAACAGGTTGACTCACTGTTTGAATTCACCTAGATAGTATGCAAAGGAGTCAGGATACAACGCAGGCAGTCTGACACCACAGCTCTTGATCACTGAGCAATGCTTTCTTCTGTGTATTGATAGCAGTACTCAGCTACCTGAAGGGGTTTAGATGAAATTTCAGATGCAATGTAACAAAAGTACCTTGAAAACTGTGGAGAGCTAAAAGGTCTTATTGATATAGCTGCAAAGTGTTTTGAAAAGACTCATAGTGTGAAAAAGTTGCCTCTGAATTATCTTTGGTTTATGATTCAAGGAAGGGAGGACCATGGCAAAATATTTCCAGAAAGGCACACACCTGGCCACTTCTTCAAGAGCAGGTATTGCCTGTGATTTGCCACTAAAACATGTCCTTAAGGTGGTATAATAATGATATCTACACCATGTGGCTTGGTGGAAAAATTGAGTGACACAAAGAACATAGGAAGCACTTGATACATTTTAGTTACCATTTTTCATATTACTATTATTATTGTTATAAAAAGTATTTGCACTACTGGTATCATCATTAAAATATACATTTAACCACTGAATTTCCAAGATTAAACCTGAATAAGTCTTCTTTGACTAGAGGTCAATAATTAGATGGTAAAGACTAGACAAGTATTTTATTATCAATATTTTTTACCTGGGGAGCCTTTTTAAAGTTGAAAAAATTAAAAATTAAAAGCAGTTAGCAATTCTCATTTCTTAACTGTGAATTTCAAATTTGTGTTTTCCTCACACTTTTATATCTTACAGATTTATGTAAATCTTTGCCATTTATCAGAGTTTTATTAAACCAGTTCTTTGCACCTACAAGCTGTACAAAAACCTAATGAATGGCCTCAGTGACTCCATTCAGTATAAATTAGGAATGAGTGACAGGAGTAATTATCCTACAAGGACAGAATGTTCTCATCAATTTTCCTTAAATCTATCACTAGAATAACTGACATTGAAGTAATTAATCCTCTCTTTCTTTGATAAATCAATGTCGTGTATGTTGGCAACATCAGTTAGTAGCCCTGTGACTTCTGTATTTGTCTCAACGACTTGTGGCAGGTTGTTATATTGCTTTATTATGTAAGTCAAATTTCATAGGTGTGCATGACAACAGCTCTATACTAAACAGCCATACTGCCTGTCACACTTGCAACTGAAAACTCCTATACACAAGCATACACAGACTGGAAAATTGACCTTAAATTATTTTTCACTTAGATTGCAAAAGAGCTCCTAGGTAATTACAAGTCAGAAATACAAAGTAAAATTTGAATCTGATCCTGTGACTTCCTGTGGAAGTTTTTGTCTTCTTTAGCTTGGATCCAGAGAACATCAAGTTAAGGGTGCGGTTCTCTCAGTATTTATAAAAATTTACTGTTATACCAGTACACAGTTGTCTATCTAGTTTGTGCAATGAGGAGTCGGTGCCCTTGACCATTTCTCTTTTTAATAGATCAATCAGTATCTTGACTGACTCACCTAATTTTTTCTTCAAAACTTGCTGTTTTGTGGATAAGAAATTTGACAGGAAAGCAATCCCTTCATTCTTTTCTTCACTCATTTCTCACTCACATAAGCACTCACATTTTTCTTTTCTGTTGACTCAGGTATAATTTGTTCTACAATCA